TTTAAATCATGTTACTAAAAAAAAACTTGTGAACAATGTGGATAAATTCCTTCAACTACAAAAATGAAATAAACAAAACTTCTTTATTAAGGTGAAATAAAAATTCATATTGCACAACAGATACTGCTTTTTAATGTAATACTTAATGGCAAATGAAGTTTTTTGTTGTTGTTGTCTTTTTGTGGGGGTACTAGGGATTGAACTCAGGGCACTCGACCACTGAGCCACACCCCCAGCCCTATTTTGTATTTTATTTAGAGACAGGGTCTCACTGAGTTGCTTATCGCCTCGCTTTCGCTAAGGCTGGCTTTGAACTCATGACCCTCCTGCCTCAGCATCCCAAGCCACTGAGATTACAGGCACTCGCACTTCCCTGGCAGCAAATGTGTTTTATTTTATTTTATTTTTTGTGGTGCTGGAGATTGAACCCAGGGCGTTATGCATGCGAGGCAAGCACTCTACCAACTGAGTTATATCCCCAGACCCACAAATGAGTTTTTATATGATACTTTTTTCTTTCCAGTGCTGGGGATTGAACCCAGGGTCTTGAGCATGCAATATATGCGCTCTACTATTGAGTTACATCCTTAGCCCAATACTTTTTTTTAAAATATATTTTTAGTTGTAGATGGACACAATACTTATTTTTATGTGGTGTTGAGGATCGAACCCAGGGCTCATACCTGTGAGCAAGCGCTCTGCCACTAAGTTACAGTGGTAGAATTTGCTTTGGTGTTAAGTTTTCTTTTTTTTTTTTTCCAAACTGAAGCTAATTAAACATAGTTTAAAAGAGAAACATACTAATAAGTATCTGTGTATAGACACATGTAATATAGAATAAATTTGGAGGCTATGCCAGTTAGTAGATATTTCTTTTTTTCCTTCTTTTTTGTACCAGGGATTGAACACAGGGGAGCTTAACCACTGAGCCACATTCCCAGTCCTTTCCATTTTTTATTTTGAGACTAGTCTCACTAAGTTGTTTAGAGCTTCCCTACGTTATTGAGGCTAGCCCTGAACTTGTGATCCTCTTGCCTAAACCTCCAGGATCACTGGGATTATAGGCATGTATCACCATGGGCCCAGCTAGTAGGCATACTATTTCTAAGAAGCAATTTAACTTCTTGGTGACTCAATTTTCTCATCTGTAAAATGTGACTTATTTTATGAGATTACTGAGAGGATTAAATGAATAAAAACATGCAAAACACAGCAAATAATAAATGCCTGGAACATTGGTAAAGTACTCAGTAGAAATTTGCTGTTTGGGCATATATGTATCTATAATGTATACTCATTTATTATTTTCCAGTATGAATTGTTAACAATACTTGGTGAGCATTTTCCTATAGCTATAAAAATTTACATAATCATGTAAAAAGTATATTCGTAGTTGAAATTTTGGCCAGCTGCAGTGGCATGTGCTTATACAGGAGGCTGACTGCAGGTGATTACTTGAGGTACGGAGTTCAAGACTAGCCTGTGCAATATAGTGAGATCCTGACTCAAAGGAAAAAGCTCAAATTATTAATGAATAAATAGCATTACTCTTGATTACTTTTTGTCTGAATGAACATGTTGCTGTTATCAACTGCACTTTGGTATTAAGAATATGACACTTTTTTAGCTGGCCACTTTTTTACATGCCAGTAATTCCTGCTACTTGGGAGGATAAGGCAGGAGCATAGCAAGTATAAGGCCAGTCTGGACAACTTAGTGAGATCCTGACTCAAAATAAAAAATAAGGGCTGGGGGGCTGGGATTGTGGCTCAGTGGCAGAGCACCTGCCTGGCATGTGTGAGTCACTGAGTTTAATCCTCAGCACCACATATAAATAAGTAAAAAATAAAGGTACATCAACAGCTAAAAAATATTAAAGAAAAAAAAAGGGGCTAGTAATACAGCTCAGTAGTCCAGATACTAAGAGCAACAATGGGTTCGAACCCCAGAAATGCAAAACAAAAAATTTTTAAACTTTTTGGAATTAAATTTGAAAATATCAATTCTACATCTTAAAAAAAACGGGTTTCTTCATAAAGACTTCACAAATATAAAGTAAAAACTTCAGAACAATACATGTTGTATGAATCATTTATATCTAAAACAACTAAACAACATCTACTAAAATTTGTTGGTTTTTTTTTTTTTTTTTTGCTTTTTGTACATAAAAGAAAAGTGGCTTTGGTGGTTAATTCTGGAGAATGGAAAAAGAAAGAGTTCTTTTTACTTTAAAGTCTTCTGTATTATTTTTTTTCTCCTCCTGTAGTGCTGAGGATTACCTAGGCCATTTTTAGCACTTTTTTTTTTTAGTATGACACTAAATTATATCCCCAGACTATTTAAAACTTTAAAAATTGTTTTTATGTGTTTATGGAAAAATATACATAATAGTGGCATTAAGTACATATAACCATCACATTATCCATCTCCAGAACTCATTTTATTATTGGAATTTTTCTGAGCATGTGTTGCTCTAAATTTTTTAAAGTTATAATTCTTTTTGCTCAGTTTCCCCAATAATCTATTATTACAAAGATTTTAAAAATTATATGGTCAGTGATGAGAAACACAGACAGAAAAAGATCATATTGTTTTCTACTACAACTGACAGGTTTTGTTCAACTTAAAAAGCTACCTTGACCCTATTGTATCATTCTTAGAAATAGTAAAACACTACGATCCTGAATGCCCCGCTTTTTATTCCCCCAAATCTAGCCAAGTTAGGAGAACAATGAGAGCAAGCCTGGATTGGAATGTCCAAATCCATATTATCCTGAAGAATACTGGCTTTCTCTCGTACACACTGGAATCTGGGGCATGCTAATGTTATCTATAGAAAGTTGCTTTTTTACAAATTCTCCAAAACAGTTGCACCTTGCAATGCTGATCTTATAAGCAAGCTAATGTAGATGATGTCACTAATTCTGCAGCCTAATAATATAAAATCACTCTCTCAGTGGCAACTGGGGCAGAACTGAGGGCTCTGTGGAAAGGATTCATGTAAGTACTCATGCAGCGGGCTGCTTCTGGACAAAATGCTGTGAGGGACGAGGTACTATCTATTTAGTCTACCACCACTGGACCTTCCCTGTATGTATTTCTCCATAAAGTTTTATGCCTCATATGCTGTCTCTGGGTATTTTCTTTGGTCTCAAAGCAACCTATCCCAATATCCTGGTACAAATGGGCTGTGGATGTTAACAATCTTAACAATCTTCATTTTATTTTTATCATCAATGAAAAAATTGGCATCTATTAAAACTTTTTAAAAAATCATCTTGATTTTTAAATTTTTCATTGCTAGAACCAAAACTATTCGGAGATTTTCTTTGTTTGTTTTAATTTAGCATGAACTAAAACCAACTTGCCATCCCTGGACAGGGCTTTAAGGTTTGCCTCTCTTCTACCCTGGAGTGTAGAGAGAACAGACAGATAATAATCTCAAATAGTTTTGTACCAGGTCAAAAAAAAGGAAAAAAAAAAAAAAGCCCAAACAAACAAAAACCAAAAACCAACCAACCAACAAAAACCAAACAGGAACAGAAATTAGCGCTTATCTAAATCTGAATCACTCCATTTCTGTTTCCTGTCAAGGCAAATAGAACTATGTGGTTGGCACAAGAACAAGTAAGATATAGCTAAGACCTACAGCAATTACTAATTACAGTAAAAAAACAGGATAACACATTGACCAGATGACCAAAATTAACAACACTAACGAAAGGCAAATGGATATGTGCATTCCAAAAGATGTGATATCCTGAAGACATAAAATTGCTTGTGTAGTATTCAATCTTGGAATGTATAATTTGCATGTAATCATAAGAAAACATCAGATAAATCCAAATGAGGAACAATCTATCAAAGAGAGAGTAGAGAACAAGGGATGTGGCTCAGAGGTAGAAAGTTTGTCTAACATGTGCAAAGCCCTAGGTTTGATCTTCAGCAAAACAAAACAAAACAAAATAAACAAACAAAAAAGGGTTGTAGATTTTATTCCTCAAAATGTCAGTGTCATAAAAGACAAAGGGTGTGGAACTGTTCCTGACTAAAGGGGAATAAGTAGACATGAAAGTGAATGCAATATTAGATCTTAGATTGGACACTATGTCAAAAAAACCAAATTCTATAAAGAATATTATCAGATAATGAGAAAAGCCAGAATAGAGATGGCATATTGGATAAAATGAATGTTAGTGTTCACTTTCTTTTTTTTAAGTGTTAACTTTCTTGATGTTGATAATTATACCATAGTTTACTAAGAAATACCATTGAAGCATTTAGAAGTAAAGGGATATATAATGTGTGCTACTTACTGTGAAATGGTTGAGAAAAAAGATATTATTTAAAGGAGAAAGAACTATATATTTAAATAGAGAGAAAGATCAAATGAAAAAGCAAACAAGGTAAAATGTTAATGACAGGTAAAACTGGGTCAAGGGTATATGGGTATTCTTTGTATTTTTCTTATTTTTGCAACTTTTGTATAAGCTTAAAATTATTTACAAGTAAAAAAAAATTAATAGGCTGGCTGGGATTGTGACTCAGTGGTAGAGCACTTGCTCAGCACCACACATAAATAAATAAAATAAAGGTCCATCAACAACTAATAAAAATATATTTTTTAAATTAATTGAAAAATTATACCTAGGGCTGGGGCTGTAGCTCAGTGGTAGAGCACTTGCCTTGCATGAGTGAGACCCTGGGTTTGATCCCCAGCACCATATAAAAATAAACAAATAAAGATATTGTGTCCATCTACAATTAAAAAAATATATTTAAAAAAAAGAAAAATTATACCTAAAAACAATTTAGCACAGAAGTCCTTGGTTGAAAAAGTTAGAATTTAAAGAGAGGAAGAATCTGAGACTTGGGAAAGAATATCTATGCAATAACAAAGTTAGAACTGATGAAATCAAATGACTTAAAATAAAGAAATTAAGTTCTAAAGTTAAATTTAGGATTTACAAAACAACACTTAAAAAATCAAAATGCCTTACCTTAATTTAGCTGAACGTAGTATTCTGGTAAGTGAAACACAGTTTCCTTCCATTATACCCTTCCCAATTGTGGGAATAATGCTTTTGCGGCACGCAACATATAATGAACATGCCAACCAATGCATAACTTCTCCCTGGCAGGCAAAAGACAAATAGCAAACTGGATATGTTAAAATGCTAGAGTTTCAGAACCAGAAGAGATCTTAGAATTAATTACCTGGTCTAAATCCTCTTCTATAGATAGAAGGCCAAAGAAATGAAGATATCTGCCTATCAAACTAAGTCACCCTAATGAATATAAAACTCCTTCCTTAGTCCTGTGTTTTAACTACTATACCATGCTAAATCAGTACTAATTTCAAAATAGATCTCTTCTCTCCAATCTAGTATTATAGAGAGTTCTTTTAAATTAAATTTCTCAGAATTAACTTTCTCAATTTTAAAATACCACTCATGGTATTTGTGATGATGGAGTTCCTTTCTATCATTTTAGCTTTATATATTTTTAAAACCAGATTTAGAGAGAAAAGAAAGAGTAGGATGTTGGTGAGTCACAGATAAAAAATTAATACCCATATTGTGCAATATAAGGAGACTGTCATTTTTGTAAGGGAAAAGTTAGGGGCATTATTTACCTCCAAACACATTATCTTTAAAATAGTATGTCTTTCCGTCTTGATATCTCAATTTACAAAGCTACAAAAAAGGTGATACCTGAAAATTCAACACTTAATTTTCTGCTTTAGACTTGAAATATCTCCAAGCTTGACTCATTTTATGATTTTACTGTAAAAATATAGGTGACATTTAAGGATTAAGAATCATAGCTGGCTGGGCTGGGGTTGTGGCTCAGCAGTAGTGTGCTCGCCTAGCACGTGCAAGGCCCTTGGTTTGAACCTCAGTGCCACATAAAAATAACTAAAAATAAAGTTACTGTGTCCAACTACAACTAAAAAATAAAATGTTAAAAAAAAAAAAAAAAGAAAAGAATTACAGCTGGGTGTGGTGGACTACTCCTGAAATCCCAGCAGCCTGGGAGGCTGAGGCAGGAGGATCGGGAATTCAAAGGCAGCCTCAGCAAAAGCAAGGTGCTAAGCAATTCAATGAGACTCTGTTTCTAAATAAAATTCAAAATAGGGCTGGAGATGTGGCTCAGTGGTCAAGTGTCCCTGAGTTCAATCCCCCGCATCCCCCCCCAAAAAAAAGAATTACAAACTAGGTGCAGTAGCACATGACTATAATCCAAGGTATTCACAAGTCTGAGGCAGAAGAATCACAAATTTGAGGACTCCAGCAATTTAGCATGACCCTGTCTAAAAATAAAAAAATATTTAAAAAGAGATGGGGGGGGGGCGGTGCTGGGTTGTGGCTCAGTGGTAGAGCACTTGCCTAGCATGTGTGAGGCACTGGGTTTGATTCCCAGCACTGTATATAAATAAATTGATAAAATAAAGGTCCATCAGCAACTTAAAAAAAAAAAAAAAAGAGCAAGAGAGAGAGATGGGGAGGGGGGTGTAGCTCAGTGCTTGCATACCATGCAAAAGGCCCTGGGTTTAACCCCAAGTGCCAGTGGCCCCCCAACACAAACACAAACCCACACACGCAAGTAAAATCACAGATAATAATCTCTTAGCACATGATATTGCTCTTATTCGTTGTTCTACAAATCCCATTTAAGAGACTCTAGAAAAATTAAAAGATTGATAAAAAAAAATTTGTCACAATAACCTAAAGGGGATAGATAGAAATGGGTGGACATCAATAAAGCTAAAACCCAGTATTTCTAACATGTAGTGGAAAATGAAGATCAAGACATTAAGAGCTGCAAGCAACACATTATTAGTGGCTCCAGAGCCCAGTGATATAATTCCCAAAATCTGAGCCGATAGATAGCAAGCACAATGCAAAGTTTTGGGTCCATCAAGGCAACAGAGTTGGTGCAATTCTATTGGAGGGTGCATTCTACATTCCTTATAAGGGTACAAGTTTGTCAATAACCTAGGGACTTTTACTGCACTAAGCCTAAAGGGGGAATGTTCTGTCCCAGCTACATTGTTTCCTGCTTTTGCATTATCTGTTCTAGGTAATGTTAGCTGCTGTAAGCCTCAATGAATAAATGTCAGTAAGAAGAGCTGCTATAAAAACCACAGCCTGTCAGTTCTTAAAACTGCTAAAGTTCCCATTTTATTCTACCACAATCCTCAGAGGGGTTTTATTTGCTCAAAGAACTGATAAGCCAGGTAAATTTATCCTTGAATTGATGAATTGTTTGGGAATAATACCCTATTACAGAGCTTTTGGATACAGGTTACTATATGAAATCTCTAGTAAGGTAGAGAAAATAGTATGGGAATTATTTCGATTTTTCCTAAAAAAATAAAAAAATTAACTGTATTGTTTATTCTAGTTTCTAGCCCTTGACCCTAGAACTTAGAAATACAAAGATGGTGTTTGAACTTGGAGAATTCCAAGTCTACAGCTAAAAAGAGTGACAGAAACTATCATCTACAATTGGTGATACAGTACAGAAGCAGCATGGAAGATAAAGTGTTGTGAAAAAAATATAGTGTAGTAGCTGGCTTTGACTGGAGATCAGGGAAGGTTTCATAGAAGATTTAAAATTGCTAAGTATAAATCACCAAAAATGGGAAGTGAGGTTCAAAATGGAAGAGGATTGTTGGGTAAACTAAAAAGGGATAGGGACTGGGGAGAGAGTTCTTAGAAAGCAGTAGAGAGATATGAAAATATCTATTCCAAGTGTCTTTCATCAAAAACTGAAAGGAAAAAAAAAGGATGAAAAATTAAACACTGGGTAGAATAAACACTTGCAAACTCTCAACTCACACATCTAGGTTTTCCAAAGCAAACATTTGAGGCATATTGATCAATTCTACCTAACCAGAAATTTAAATTTTCAACCTCCCCCTGGGGTTATGGATAAGGAGAAAGGTTCCAGGAAAAGTCAAACGCATGCAGAACTACACAAATGAGAATGAGTTTGTCACATTCAGAATCTGAAGCTGATGTCTAGTTGAGTTCCTTTGGCCATAGTGTGCACTCAATAAATGCTTATTCAATGAGAGATCAAATGAAGCCCTGGGTTGTCACAAATGCTTTCTCAGGCTTTCAAAAAACCAATGTTTTCAACTGAGACTCCATTAATTCATAATTACCTTTATTTTCTTATTCTTCCCTCAGTTTTGCAATCATGCCACTCAGATGCAGGTCACTGTACTTTTTCCAATCTAATAAGTAATACCCTGGAGATAGGAGTCTCTCACAGGTAGTTTTCCCCTCATACACAGTCACACACATAGTCAACTCTATATTTCCAACTCTATGCTTTTGGACCCAGTTATTTCACTGAGTGTTGAGTCAGAGGAACATCCTGTGTGTAAGTCCAACCCTCTTGGCTCATGAAAGCCTTTGAACATGAGGCCATTGGAGCAATATGCTGAAACACAGCCTTGCCTCGGTAATTCCCTTTGGAGGAATTGGTTCCAAAGAATGCCAAAATTTGGGGATGCTTAAGTCCCAGATATAAAATGGCACAGTGTTTGTATATAACCTATGATCAGCCTCCTGTAGACTTTAAAATCATCTGTAGATTATTTACAATATGTAATAAAATGTAAATGTTATATAAATATTCATACTGTATTGTTAATAGAATGACAAAAGTCTGACCATGCTTAAGACAGATGCAAAATTTTCCCCCAATATTTTTATCTGCTGATCCGACGACGACGATGGAGGCCCACTGTACAATTCTCTCTGTACTTAGCTTATGCTTTTCTGGGTTTCTATATAGAACGACCCTGGGTAACAATCTTCTGAGCCTCAATATTACCAACTGGAAAACAGGTATAATACTCCCTGCCCTGCCACATTGTCAGGCTGCTGGCAAGACGAGATACAAGAATGTTGGGGAAACCTAACATCGACAGCAGTTGCTTTACTCAGAGGCACTATGCTAAGCACCAGGCTGAGGCTCCGACGGAGGAGTGGGGACAGCTCTGCGTGCATTCCGGCTACAGCAACTGCTCCTCAGCGCCGGGGTACCATCGGCGGCCCAGGCCCACACCCTGTGAGGCAGGAGGCTGGGAGTCTGAATGGCTCGGCCTCCGAGTGCGGGTCCGTCGCCAACCGCGTGACCCTGGGCACGCAGCTTAGCCTCTCGGGGCTCCCCTTCCCTCTACTGCGGAACAGGAATCAATGAGCGTGTTCGAAAAGAACCGAGGTGACAAATTGGAAGCGAACTGGGCACGCTGTCATTTTAGCTTTTGCAACACGTTTGCTGTGTCGACTCAACGGCAGTGCCACGACCCCTGGCTCTTGGTAGGGCGCAGGGAGTCCGGCCTGCAAACCCGGAGTCCGGGGACCCCGAGTGGCGCGGGACCTCTGACAAGCCGCAGCTTCTCTGGGCTTCAGTTTCCCGCCTCAAAACAAAATGGGAGGGCTGGCCGAGCTGCACCACCCTCCCGCGCCGCTCCTCGCCGCGGAGCCGATCTGCGACCCCCGGGGTGGGGAACTCCCG